GCGGTGCCCTGCATGGGTGAAGATGGATTACTTTTTCAGCGTCAGAGTTTTTTCATACATCAGATTTTATTTTTGTGCTCAGGTTTTTTTTTTTTTTTCAAAGCACGACAGATATTATGTTTTTTATTTGGCCTCTTTTGGGGCTGAAAAAAGAAGATTTTAGAAAAAAGAAGACCTCAAATGGTAATGTTTTTTTTATTTTTTTTTTACAGGTACTTAATCATTGTCCCCCCCTAACTACTTTTAGGGTAAGGGGGGTAGGTAGGGATTTATAAGATAAAAATTGGGAGGGGGTGACTAGTGGATTGGGCCCCCACCTACCGTTCAGGGGTGGTGGCTGGGGGAGGACAATAAGTGTCCCCCCCTTATTTGACTTTAGGGCCCTCACCTGCCGCTCAGGGATGGGCGCCGGGGGGGAGGACAATAGGTCCCCCCCTTATTCTTCTTTAGGGCCCCCATTTTTCTGATTTAGGGACCCCTCCCACCGCTCAGTGGTAGTGGCTGGAGGGGGTGGCAATAGGTCCCCTCTTTAGTTAAAAAGGTCCCACTCGAGCAGCATGGGTGTGGGCACGGAGGAGGGGACATGTTTAATAGACATGCTCACTGTTTAATAGACATGCCCCTACTTGCGTCATAGCGAGTAGAGGCAGAATTTACTAATACTAAGTCATTTTTGCTTAGTATTAGTAAATTTGGCTGAAATACCTATATAGGTCTTTCAGCCTTTTGGAAGATAGCTCCTTAATACTGTGGGAATTAGTGAGTTATCTATAAAGCGGATGCAAGAGAACATCCGAAGTGCCGAAGTTCCGAAATGGTGAAGATCGGCAGTTGCCGAAGTGTAAAAGTACCGAAGTCTCGAATTTCAGAATGCCGAACCGAACCGGATATTTTCCCCATGAACATCCCTACTAAAAAGCGCTCTCTTGGCTTATTTGGGAAAGAAGCAGGTGGTGTTCGTGGGATAGTGTGTCCGATTTTAGTTCCATATATTCAACACTTTGAATAGAGCTGCTTGCATTCGAGAGACAAAATGAACGCCATCCCCCATACCCCTGTCATTGCTTTCTTGGGGACAGACGCGACTACAAATGCTTTGTCTAAGACTATAGTGCAATTGTCAAACCCCTGACAGACTTGGAAAAAAATAAATAAAATCCTAGTCAGATCCTGTGGTCCCCTGAATGTGAGCAGGCTTCCCAGACTTTCAAAAATGCATTAATCCATGCCCCCGTCCTTACCATTCCAGGTCCTAACAAACATATCATTGTCCACACAGATGCCTCGATGTTTGGACTGGGTAGCCTACATCAACAGGAAACTCCTACCCTGGGAAGTCAGTGTTTGGCCATCGTGTGGGCTCTAAAGAAGGTTACCCCCTACCTATACGGATGGGCCTTCACCATCATCACTAACCACAACCTGTTGGTATTTCTGCAAAGGGAGACAATGCACGGTTGCTGTTGTGAAGCTCAGCCCTGGAACCCTACAACTTTGCAATTCATTACCAACCCGGTAAGCAGAACGGGAAGGCCAACGGGTTCTCCTGGCAGACCAAGCTTGTAATCTAGGACTGAGACCTCCTGGAAATCCCAAAGGTGACCCGAAAAGGGTCAAGCAGTGTCTGTTCCGCTTTTTTTCTTATTTTTTTTTTAGAAATTTTTTAGAAATTGTTTGTTTAAAATTCTTGCAAATGTAACATTTGATACTTCAAAAATGTGGATAACATTGTTGCTTTTATCATAATGTCTAGTACAAAGTTCACATTCAGTAATAAAAATACTTGTAGTCGACATAGAGGGGAAGTGAAGACATTCAAATAGATTCGCTGATAGTTCAAGGTCTCATATTATCTCCAGGTGGGTGTCACTATCGGTCTGTTTGACTGGTGTTCATGAAGTTACACTTGGGTTCCCAGGTGATCATGTATATGTGGTATTTGCCGGTTAGTGAGAAGCTAATTTCCTCCATTGTTCTAATGCTTTCTACTTTACCCAGTCCCTAATGGTAGGTGGGGCTGTTTTTTTTTTTTTTTCCAGTGGAGGGGGATAAGCAGATTTGCTGCTGTGAGCAGATGCATGTTTAGGGTCCTAGTGTCCCTTGGTATGGAGGGAGGCAATATAAGAAATAGGAGTGTTTCAGGTGTGTGCTATCTTCTTATAGTTACTTTCCTGTGTCGCTAAGCTGGTGGATGATTTGAGTGTCAGCAGGAATATTTGCTTCCAGTCATTATCTGCAAAAGATAAGTGCAGTTCTTGTTCCCAGTGTTTTTTGTAGAGTAGGTTGATTGGTTGGCTAGTGTCCTGTAGTAGGCGTATGCGGTTGTGACCTGTTTCTTTTTGACTGTGCGTTGGGTGCACGTAAGTTCGAATTTGGTCAGTGCTCGGTGACCTTGTTGGGGGTATTTGTTGGTCTCTAAAAAGTGAATTAGTTGATCTTAGTGAAATGTTTGAAGGGTCGTGGGAGTTCCCTCCGGGATCAGGGACGACAGGGGCCTAAATCCCTCATTGTCAGGGAGGTCTCGTAAAGGTAGATATGCTTTGGTATGATATTCTCATTATGCCACTCCCGATTCACCCGGCTTGAAGAGCGGATTGTGGGTCAGTGGATATAGCGGTGATGGGTATGGTGATATGTCCGCCCGATGTCTCACGTGTGACCACAGTCCGTGTCGGAGTAATGGTCAGGTGTTGTTTGTGCGTATGGAAGGATTAGCCAGATTTGTGCCATGGTATTGTGTGTATGGGGACACGGAAGAAGTTATTCTCTACATCTACCCATTGTTTGGTCGTGTTTGTGTCTGTCCACTCATAAATCCTGGCCAATAGTACTGCACTGTGGTATCGTTCCACATCTGACAGCCACAGACCCCCCGCCGCCTTTGATCTCTTGAGCAGCGGATAGGCTAGCCTGGGGCGTTTGTGGGACCAAATCAATGTTGTAAATAGTTTTCGTATGGCAGCAAAGAAGGTTGTGGGTAGAGTGATCGGGAGAACTTGCAGCAAGTATAATATTCTTGGGAGAATATTCATTTTCTGGATATTTATCCTGCAAAACCAGCTGAAGTGCGGAGTGTACCATTTAGTAAGATCTTTGGTTATAGCTTGGATTAGTGGGGGGGAAGTTTTTTTTTTTTTCATATAGTCGTGAGATAATGGATGGTAGCGCTACCCCCAGATATGTTATATGCTCTGTTGCCTAGGAGAATGGGAAGTTTGACTGTAGATGTGTTTTGGTCGAGTTTAGTACTTTCAGTGGGAGGAGTTCACATTTACCTAGACTTTGCTATAGAGAGACATCTCCTCCAGTATATGAGGGAGTGAGGAGATGGGTTCGGAGACCGTGAATAGCATGTCATCTGCAAATGCTGATATTTTGTGTTCTGCCCCTCCCAATTTGAAACCCTCGATGTTAGGATTTTCTCTAACTCCCTGGAGGATTGGCTCCAGGACCAGGACGAAAAGAAGAGGGGTGAGGGGGCACCCCTGTCTCGTGCCATTGGAGATGGGTACTGGGAGTGAGAGTTGGCCGTTCACGCGTAGCCTAGCCGTTGGTCTGGAGTATAGAGCTGCCGTCCACCTGAGCCAGTTTGGGCCAAAGCCCATCTGTTCCAGGGTGGCACGTATCAGGGACCAGTCCACCCTGTCGAAAGCCTTTTCAGCATCTATGGAGAGTAACAGTGTCTGGGTGTTTGTGTGTTCAGAGTGATACATGAGATTAATGAGTTTGGTGGTATTTGGTTTTTTTTTCAATGTATATCTTTATTGTTTTATAAAGAGTTAACAATGTAGGAGTCAGACTCCTCATATAACACAATACATTACAGCATGGTACAAAAACACACAAATAAGAGAAAAGAAAAGAAAAGTAAAATTACGGTAATAATATGTACAGTAGCCTTATTGTCACGTTGTGCTTATACATAGCTTATAGAAGTATACCAATCATGATGAAGGAAGGTGCTGTCTGGTGCATTAGATACATACATACAAACATATGAGGATACACAGGCAAATATTTCTATCGATGTAGCCTGGAAATTTCGATAGCTGTAACCATATTATATACCCAACTGAACTGAGTCTCTCTCCCTTCTACATCAGTGTTATCTGCCTGGTATACAAACCAAGTATTCAATAACAGGGTAGCAAATATAAAGGCATAGCATTGAGAGAAGGAAAAACACAACTGTGAAGCAATGCGGGAATAGCTCGGCCAGTTTGGGTAGAGTGCGTAGTAACGCCAATATTGGTACCTAGTAGACCAGTTGGACTTGCTATGTGTTGTGGTATTGTGAGGGTTTATAGATAATTGGCTAAGGTTATGCATTGTACCTGAGATCTCCACGTCCAACGGTGTGGACATAACATTCTAAACAATCTTGCTACTCCATTTTAAATAGCTATGTGTCAATTCTTAGCATAGAGAACATAATATAAAGGAAACAGTTACAAATATATACATGAAATAACCATAATAACTAAAAGGGGAGGGGAGGAGAGGTGGGTGGGAAGGGTACAGTAGGGCGCATCTTGTCGTATTTTATATTGCGTTTATTATAGTGGAATACAGTATAGTAATGGTATGGTTGTGGTTTAGTAGTCTTACAAGGTATAGTAGGATAGTACAGCATAGTTTCTTGTCTTATAGTGGTAAGCCCTATACCAGATAGGGGGATGGTAAGGACCGGAGGGATACCTGCAGCTAGTGCAGCTCGTTACACTGTAGCATGAGAATCTTTAAAAGTCTTCCAATTTTCCCATCTGTTCATAAGGTGTGACCCGTTGCCCCTTTTTGCCCATTCGCATTCGTGGTGGTATGTGACCTCTACCCTACCTAGAACCTCCTTCAGAGAAGGGGATTTGGTGTCTTTCCAATGGGCTGCAATACTGATTTTTGCTGCAACTAGTATATTTAATACTGCGTCTCTAGATGGTATATCACGTAGGTTAAGGATAATGTGGAGCAAGTAAATTTCTGGGACTAGTGGGAAAGTTGTCTTACAAATCGCATAAATGGTTGTTTTTTTGGACAGCCTTCCAAAAGTGTTGCAGGTTGGGATAATGCCAAAATATATGTTCTATAGAACCTAAACTGGAGTTGCAGCGCCAGCATATTGAGGGAGAATTGGGATAAATTTTGTGAATCCTGCTCGGGACCAAGTACCATCTCATTAACATTTTAAAGTAGGCTTCCCATAGTGTGACACACTTCGAAGATTGTTTGGTGTAGATGATGGCTTGTTCCCATTCTATGAGAGTCGGAGTTACTCCTAACGATGTCTCCCACTGCTTCATGTAAGGTAGTTTGGGGGGTCCGTGACTATCGGACAGCGTCATATAACATAGTGAAAGAAGTTTACAAGAAGGGCGTATCAGTCTGGCATGGTAACATTGTGCACCTATATGACTAAGTGACAGCGGGTCAATGTGCTCAATCGATTGTGACATTAAGATATGTTTAACACACAAGTACATGAAAATGTCCCTCGGAGGTAAATTGTACCGTTCCTGCAGTGTTGGGAAAGGATGGATGCCATCTGTACCAAACATTTTATGCACATGTGTGACACCTAAGGCTGACCATTTAGACGTGTTGAGGTCGGGAGATAAGGCGGAGAGGGCTGACAATGGTGCAAGGTACAGTAATTCTGCCTTTGGCCATATTGCTATGTTCCACGTAAGGTATCGTGATGTTGGGAATGTGGAGGGTGATGCTAATGGGGTGGAGGACAATAGGGCATCATAGAGGGAGTGTGAGCCCCCACAAGCGGATTCTAAGTCTACCCATACAGGTTTGTGTGTGCCCATCATGACATAGAGGCTTTGCAACATCAGGGTTGCTTTATAGTAGAGCATGATATTGGGAACGTTTAGGCCTCCTTTTTTGAGTGGGCGCCATAGAGAATGGAAAGAGATTCTTGGTTTTTTTTTCTTCCAAATATGAGCGTTAATTGCTCTTTGGAAACGTTGAAGGAGCGAATTCGGTAAGGCGATGGGTAATGACCTAAATAGGTAGAGCATATGTGACAAAATCATCATTTTAATAGAGTTTATTCTACCAAACCATGATGTATAGAGATTGTTCCAAGAGTCCATCTGTTTGGTAATATTGGATAGGACCACTATGTGATTTTCCTTTATAGTTAGGGATTTGGTGTGCGTTAATTTGATACCTAGGTATGAAATTGCGTTAGTTTGCCACACAAATTGGTATGTGTTTTTCAGTGCACTCACCAACTGCTTATCAAGTCTTATAGGGAGTATCTGGGTTTTATTAACATTGTTTTTATAATAGGAAATGTCTCCATATGTGGCCAGAGTTTGTTATAGGTGAGGAATGGATTCAGATGGGTTAGCTAGAAAAATGATTACATCATCGGCAAAGAGTGCCAAATTTTTTTCTCCAGCTGGAGTATTTATACCGGGTAGTGCCGCATCAAGCTTGATCGTTCTAACTAGAGGTTCCAAGCATAAGATGAAGATCAATGGTGACAAGGGACACCCTTGCCTCGTACCATTGGTTATGCGAAAATTTCTTGATGTGAAGCCGGAACTGAAAACTTTAGCAGATGGGGCGGAGTATAGGGCCATGATGCTAGTAATGAAAGCATTGGAAAAACCAAAGGCCGACAGAGTCTTGGACATATATTCCCAATTTAGGCGGTCAAATGCCTTTTCCGCATCTAATGCCAACAAGGCACCTGATTTATTTTTGAGGTTGGCCCAATCAATTAAGTCCATACAGTATCTTGTGTTGTCTCCAACCTGCCTGCCAGGAACAAAGCCCGCTTGTTCTTCTGAGACTAATGCGGATAACAGGGGGCGAATTCTGTTGGCAAGCAGCTTGGCGTACAACTTAACGTCGGCATTAAGTAATGAAATCGGTCTGAGGTTACCGCAATATGTTGGTGGTTTATTTGGCTTAGGCAAAGTGATAATGTAGGCTTCCAGCATTTCTTGTGGAAATTTACCTGTCGTTCTTATTTTGTTAAATAATGTTGTATAGTGTGGTATTAGTCGCGATGCCAATTTCAAATAATAGTAGTTGGAGAGACCATCAGGTCCCGGTGCTTTATGTTTTGGCAGGGATTTAATCGCATTACCCACTTCAGTTTCCGTAAAAGGTGCATCTAAAAGGTTTATGTGATGTGTCGGTATTTGAGGGAGTGTGATTCGGGAGAGGTATTGCGTGATGTCTACAGCACTGGGAGATTTGGTATGTGGGCTATTACGAAGATTGTACAGGTCTTCATAAAAACTGGCCAGTTCTTCAACAATCGTATTCGGGTTATATATTCGTGCGTGATCTTTGGAATATAGATAAGGGATCTTAGTTTGTAGGTATTTTGCTTTCAGTTGGTTAGCCAATATCTTGCCTGCCTTATTCCCGGAAAAGTAATACATTTGTTGAGTTTTATGTGCTTGCTTAGTGTATATTTGTGTTTGAAGAAGGTGAATATCCTGTTGCACTTTGGTGATTTGCCGGGTGACTGACTTAGAAGGGGATTGTTTATTGGATTCTTCTAGCTTCCTAAGGGTAATGCGAAGTGCAGTCTCATTAGATATATAGTTTTTTTTAGCTATGGAACCCAATTTGATGAAGTGGCCCCTGACAACTGCTTTGTGTGCTAGCCATTGGGTTTCTACTGTGGTATCTTCAGTGGAATTAACCTCAAAGTAATTATCTAGTACCGTGGAAATATATTGAGTGTCAGCAGGGTTATCAAGAATAGATTCATTCAAGCGCCATTTACCTCTCCCTGTTGTGGGATATGGCACTGCTAGCGTAACCAGAATGGGGGCATGATCGGACCATGTCCGAAGCCCAATGGATTGGTCCTTAAGATGTGGGAGGGTATGTTTATCGACTAGGCACAGGTCGATGCGTGTGTACGTTAGATGTACCTGTGAGAAATAAGTGTAATCTCGTGCTGTTGGAAATAAATTTCGCCATGTGTCATATAGATCTTGCTCATGGAGAAGCCGAGAGAACAGTTTACTATTGTGAATAGATAATTTATTGGGAGGTTTGTTCTTGATGCGTTGTATATCTAGGGAGGGCATGAGGGTACAATTACAGTCGCCACAGATGATAACATGGCCCTGTTTGATGGAATTTATTTTGTTAATTGCTTTATTAAGAAATGAAAATTGAGCTTCATTAGGAGCGTATAGTGATACCACCGTTACTTGAATACCGTTCAGTTCGCCTACCAGGACCAGTAAGCGGCCAGTTGGGTCAGTGAATTGTTTTGGAGCTGTATAAAGCCAATCTTTGTGGAAAAAAATTGCAACACCTTTGGACTTGGTTGGTGAGTAAGCGTGGTACACTTGTGGGTACATTGGAGAGCGGATCTGAGGAGGGTTACGGTTCGCGAAGTGTGTCTCTTGGACACAGACAATCGCGGTTCATGCTTTATGCATGTCCTTTAACAGTTGCTTTCGTTTGTAGAGGCTACTGAGGCCTTTAGCGTTAAGGGAAAAGATTTGTAGTGTGTTAGGCGGCATCTATATCATAAAGTGAGGGGGTAATCGGGACCGCTGTCGTAACTTAGTTTAGATCTGTGCGGTATAGCACCCCTGGAGGTAAACCTCATTGCCCACTCCGGGGGCATGGGAGCCCAGATTATATTGGGACCACTCATAATATTCCCTTGCAAGTGGATACTCTCAAATGTCATGGGATGGACTGATGCTGTGTGAACAAACAAGCCTACTTGTGAGGGTGGAAGTGAAGGTGGGGGGAGAGGGAAAAAACCGTGGATAAACAAACAATAACAATAACACAAGTATATACAGAGGAAACCCTTAATGGGTTCCACATAAATCGTCATCCGTAGGATATGCAAGAACACATCCCATGGCGACCTAGGGAGGTCTTGTGGGCTCCTCCCGACCAATGACACCAAGAATTTACATGGCATTAGTACAAGTATATCCATCTCATTGTGTGCTGCACAGCCGTCTCTTGTTATGTAGCGAGTGGTTACCATAGTTCATCTGCAGTAGTAGAGGCTTCTAGGTGCAACACAGGGTGAGGCATCAGAAATATAAGTTAAGCCGCTTTACCCTGCGGCAGCGTCATCGGTTAGACAATGTAGTGACTGGTTGATACTTATAATTTGGATACAGGCTTTGGGTGAGTGCGCCCATGCGGTTAAGCTTGCCTGCAAACTAAAATAAATATATATATAAATATAACACTCCAGGACTGGAGCCCCAGTACCAGGGGTGAACACTGTCATGAACTTCAATACACAGACGTGTAAGAAAGACCTCACCGCCTTAGACGGGAACAAACATATTGGACATGCAACCACACATTGCACAATGCACTCAAAGTATTTGCGCATCATGTGGACTATTACTGTTCTACCGAGCGAGTTGTACATGTGGCCCGATCTTCCAGATCAGTATTAGTTAGGGTTGAGATAGATATACTTGACGCTCGATATTAACTAAGCTGTATACAGAATATATATGTCGAGTACCTTCATAAAGATGTTACAGTGAAAGGCACCCAAGTTATCAGTCTGCACAGCTCTCCACAAGTGAACCATAAGTATCATATTCCCTTAATAGCGTTAGCTTTGACTATAATGTGCACAACAATATAAACTATATACATGACTTAAATTGACAATATTCCTGACATTACCAGCTTAAACACATAGGTATAAAATCGGAGAAATTGCTATAATCTCAATTACATATCCAAGATACTTATCAATGACTTTGTGGGTATAAGGAACCATAAGGAGGTCACGGAGTGTTGGCTGGTGATTTCGCCATTTGCCAATCTGCTTGAAGTTTTCTCGGGGATGCATTATCCGAAGCTTTGCTTTGGAGTTGGGGGGTACCAGTCCATAGTCCCCAGGCTGAAATCAACTTCATACCCTCTGTTGGGTCAATCGCTATATGGTTGCGGCCTTGACGCCATATGATTAATTTGATTGGATAACCCATTTGTAGGCCACGTTGTTGTTCCGTAACGTTTTAGTTACTGTTATAAAACCCCTTCGTTTTTCCATTGTGGCTGCTGATAAATCGGCATAAAGTGCAATCCGTTGGTGAGGTTCTGGGAGTGTTGGGGCTTTTCTCGCCGCTGCCAGCAGAGTTTCTTTATGAGCAAAGTAATGAAATCTTACGATAACATCCTTAGGGACTTCTTTTGATAGATGCGCCGGTCGTGGGAGTCTGTGCATACGATCGTATGCCCATGCGGAGTTAGGTAGGCCCGGGACCAGGGTGTTGCATATAGATAGAATGTGGGCTGGTAATGCTTCTTGCGTAACATCATCCGGTATGCCCCTGAATCTTATATTTTGCCTCCTTGACCTGTCTTCCATGTCAGCAAGCTTGTCACGTAATAGAGAATTTTCTTCAGACAATTTCTGAACTTTGTCCACCACTTCGTCATGTGCTATACAGAGCTTGTCCGTTTTATTTTCCAGGTGACTGGTTCTGTCACCGATATTAGAGATTTCTTTCCTCAGATCCCCATTAATACGGTGAAAGTCCGCTGTAATAGTAGACCTGAGTTCTTGCAGCATTTTGTGAAGGCTGCGTTCCGTCACTGGAGCTTCAGAGTATTTGGATGAGGTCTGTTCGTAGTCTGATTGACCGTCGGATAGATTAGATGTGTCGTCGCCATCTTGGATGTCTTTGCGGCGATCCGCTCTTTTTGATTTGGTCATTTCCGACAACTTTAGCT